AAAATTAAAAAAATTTTAATAAATAAATAAAAACCCCAGAAGAGATCATGTGAGACATGAGGTTTTAATGAATTACTGGAACAATGCCCATTGTTAAACTGATCGAGAAATGAAGATTGAAAAAGTATGGCCATCTAGACAGAATGAATCCACTGAATCCGGCAGCAACAGCACACACGAAAATGGAAACATCAAGATGCAGAGGGGATCCAGAATATGGACTGACAGAGTCACTTCACATCACAGTTAACCAAGCAGCCAAACATGACCAGGTTCAGCTAATATCACCTGTTAAACTGGGTGCCTAGCAACACAAAGCAGATATTAGGAACTGATTATCTAGCTTTTTGGCATAGCAGCTTTCTGGGGGTGAAGCCTCAACAACAACAGTACAGAGTGGGGAAAGTTACAGTCAATTAAGAGTTTATGACAATGAAGTAGTGGTTCAGAATATAAAAGCAAAAAAAAAATAGTTAGCATCCTTTGGATATTTTCTCCAGGTCATGAACGTGTGTTGGGAAATGAGCAGGCAGATACACTGGCCGGCTCTGCACCACTTGGTGGTGAATTATTGTATGACAAGTTAGATATTGTGAGGGCCCTTTGGGAACAAGTGAACAGTGCAAGGGCGCAGATAGATCATTACGGTCTGAGGAGAATGGCGCTGTGAGGAGTTACCAGGGGATCTGGCAGACGCTCAAAACTCAGGAGAAGGATGAGACGGATATACAATCAGACGGTTACTGGTGCCATCAGAATTGGAACTATTCGCTTGCTGCTGAAGATGGGGACTGAGCACTTATGGGAGTGTCCAGAGTGCTGTGATATTGATTCTTCTTTCAACATTCAAGCAAAAAGGAAGTAAAAGAAATGTTTCTGTCGTGAAGAAATCTAGGTGACAGTTTCCGAGCGGTTCAAGGGTGTGAAGTCTCAATGACAACCAACAGATGGAAGAGGTTCGGATATCAATGAGGAGTTTGTGAGGAAGTGGTCCATAAATAGAGGAAAGATGGCAAATTTTGATGCCTATGACAAATGAAGAAAGAAAAGTAAAGATATTTCCATGTCTAGTAGATATGAATTTTGATGTCTAGTGCACATGTCATGAGTAAAGGAAAGTAAACCTATTTCCATGTCCAGTAGATATGAGTAAGTCGGCGTCTGTGGCTTAGGCGTTGCGAATGCGCTTCGTAATGTCAGGGTGTAGGGTTTGATCCCAGCTGCGGACAATTTGTCTTGTGTTTGTTTCGACAATGGTACCGAGCGCTGACCGTTTAGAAAGCAATGGCAAACTACTGAACGTAAAATTTTCCTAGAAAAACCACAACAGCCAAAAAATGATGGGGTTGGTTCCGCAACATCCTGTAAAGGATAGGCAACTAACTAGCTATCAATGTCTACTAGATATGAGTAAAGGGAAGTAAAGACATTTCGATGTCCAGTAGATATGAATAAAGGGAAGTAAAGACATTCCGATGTCCAGTAGATATGAATAAAGGGAAGTAACGGAGATACTTCTATGTCTTAAAGTGTCGAGTGCATGTGGTGCTTATTCCACAATTTTAAATTTTGTTCTTTCTCGTTCACCTGCTAGTGTTTAGTTTAGCCACAATTCAACTGTATAAATATCTCTGCACATTGATCTTGTCATCTCTACAATACACTGATCCTGTATCATCTACTTTACAGTGAGCTTGTGCTCTCTACTTTACACTGATCCTGTATCATCTACTTTACAGTGAGCTTGTGCTCTCTACTTTACACTGATCCTGTATCATCTACTTTACAGTGAGCTTGTGCTCTCTACTTTACACTGATCCTGTATCATCTACTTTACAGTGAGCTTGTGCTCTCTACTTTACACTGATCCTGTATCATCTACTTTACAGTGAGCTTGTGCTCTCTACTTTACACTGATCCTGTATCATCTACTTTACAGTGAGCTTGTGCTCTCTACTTTACACCGATCCTGTATCATCTACTTTACAGTGAGCTTGTGCTCTCTACTTTACACCGATCCTGTATTATCTACTTCACAGTGAGCTTGTGCTCTCTACTTTACACCGATCCTGTATTATCTACTTCACAGTGAGCTTGTGCTCTCTACGTTACAATGATTCTTTATTATCTACTTTACAGTGAGCTTGTGCTCTCTACTTTACACCGATCCTGTATCATCTACTTTACAGTGAGCTTGTGCTCTCTACTTTACACTGATCCTGTATCATCTACAATAGTCCTGTATTCTCTACTTTACAGTGAGCTTGTGCTCTCTACTTTACACTGATCCTGTATTATCTACTTTACAGTGAGCTTGTGCTCTCTACTTTACACCGATCCTGTATTATCTACTTCACAGTGAGCTTGTGCTCTGTACTTTACACCGATCCTGTATCATCTACTTTACAGTGAGCTTGTGCTCTCTACTTTACACTGATCCTGTATCATCTACAATGGTTCTGTATTCTCTACTTTACAGTGAGCTTGTGCTCTCTACTTTACACCGATCCTGTATCATCTACAACAGTCCGGTTTTCTCTACTTTATACCGATCTTGTATCATCTACAACAGTCCTGTATTCTATACTTTATACCGATGCTGTATCATCTGCAACAGTCCGGTATTCTCTACTTTATACCGATCTTGTATCATCTACAACAGTCCTGTATTCTATACTTTATACCGATGCTGTATCATCTACAACAGTCCTGTATTCTATACTTTATACCAATCTTGTATCATCTACAACAGTCCTGTATTCTCTACTTTATACTGATCCTGTATTGTCTACACTGGTCCCATATTCTCAACTTTACACCAATCTTGAGTTCTGTACTTCACACTGATTTTATATTTTCCCATATTGGCGTGCAATTAAAGTTGTCTGTTACAGATATAAACAAGAACACTGTAACACTCACCTCTTCCTCTATGCTTCCGGGCAGCACTGGCTTGACAAGAGGTGACACTGCCCCGCCCCGGCCGAGTTTACCAGGGTGAGGACGAGGGTCAGGGCTGCGGGCAGGGGAGCGGGCAGGGGAATCTTTCTCCGAAGCATCAAGAAGACCAGAGCTCCCATAGTCTGTAGAAATGAAATTGTTAACAGAAAATTATGGGATGCTCCACTACATATACATCTGGGGGGCTTCTTAGCTATCTGGAATTCACAAGCAATGTCAAAAAGTACCTGAAGAAAAACATCCACTTTTTGTTTTATGTAATGATATAGGAAACCTAATGAGGTCACAAGGGATTTCCCAGCAGGACAGGTCAATAAGTACTACACTCAGGTAAAAGATAATCAGCGACAAATCGTGGGAGATGAGGTTTGCAAAAAGTCTGTTGAGAATTTCATGGGGAGCAAGAGAATGAGTCCACATGAGATAGGAGAAGATTCATTTTGTGTGGGACAGAGATTGTGAGCGGACGTCTTGAGCAGAGTGATTGTTTTGTATGAAACTGAGAAGCGGAAAGCGGCGACGAATGTTGAGCAGACGAAAAAGATGGCAGCAGTCATGAATGAGATGAAATTAATTGTTCGTGAGATACCAAGAACGACTGCGAATTATAAATCCAGTTTGAAATAAGGTACTATAATATTCTTAGTGTTGAGTCAACACGTATAACAAGAATGACTGTCAGGACGATCGACAAGAATGACCCTGCCAACAACACTGAGGAATCAACAATAAACTAACTGCGTGTGAATTCTCACCGCCTTCGTGAAGTTTCGTTGCTACTAACATTTGCAGTTGGGTGAAAACTAAAACTAGACAAAATGAACCATTTAAAAAAAAAATTGAAAAATCAACAGTATAACAAATTATTACAAGTTTAAATACACTTGTATGACATATTTGATAGGGAGGCAATGTGTCTTTTCACCCAGAACCCACTTGGGCAACAACCAAATTTCTACCTTCGTCACTCCCGTCTTTCTACTTCAGGCTACAACACTACAGTTTTCAGTTGCCTAATTTGTCATAAGCCGCTGGTGGCTCACTAGGGTGAGATATCACACAGGTCCACACCTCCCCATGGTTATCCTAGAACCAGGTTTTCAATCAGGGACCTGGCCACTTAGTTAACTTGGATCCTTGTTTTGGTTGAAGTCAAAAATATATATGTGTCAGAGGCAAGGAGCCAACAGTCTGCACACAAATAAGCCAGATCTGTAAAATGGATTTGCACGCAGCACCCAAGCCCTGGTACGATACCAAAGTCTAGAATTGGATGAACAAACAGGACTTTCTGCCATCCAACAAGCTTTAATGAAAATACGCATATGTACCAACTGTCAACTACTTTTATGTGATGTCCTTCCAAATTAAACACAGTTAACAGATGTTCCCACTCCAGTATGAGGTACTTTCCAACTCACAAATCATACACAATTCATAATTTAAACAACTCATAAATTATACAATTTACAGATTTTCTCACTCCTTAATTATACATAATTTATACATTTACCCAATCAGAAATTATTTTCATTTACAGATTTTATACAGAAATTATACATTATTTAAACATTTTCCCCTTACAAATAATATTTAATTTAAAATTTTTTTTCCTATTCACAAATTATAATGTATAGATTTTAATAACATAATGTGTAGATTTCCCATTCACAAATTATACACAATTAACAGATTCTTCCACTCCCAAATCATACACAATTTATAGATTCCCAACTTTTAAAATATACATGACTAAAAGATTCTCCCACTGAAAAATTTCACTTTATGGACAGGCTCTCACTCTCTTTAATTATAATTAATAAATAAATTATAGGATCAGAGTCACACATTCAACATAATTCATCAGTGTAGTTAGTGGACTGAGCAATGACATTTTTCAATTAATTCTATTCTTCCAGTAAATTGTTCTTAAAATTAAATGTATCAGAAAAATTGATTTCCTTTAATTCTGTGTTCACCATTTAGAGGCATTAACGTCTATTGTGGCGTGGTTAACAGGCTATGATATAAAAAACCTTTTAGTACAACACAACACTGATCAAGCGAAAAAAGGGTTTGTGTGTGATTTTCTTACTAACTGAAAGATGGGTACTTCTTTTTCTGCATTCCCCTTAAAAGGCAGATTGCTGGTTGCGGTGTGGTTCGATATCTGCGCATTTCAGTCCAACATAGCACGGATAAATTGTTGAATTTTGAATTAAGAATTGGCACTTGGGACACTCCCATAATCACTCCATCCCCATGTTCGGCAGCAAGCGAAGATTTACAATTCTGATGACACAAGTTAACTGTCTGATGCCTTTCGCTTCAGTGTTAAGCATCAGCCAGATCCCTTGGTAACTCTTTACAGCGCCATTCTCCTCAGACGGTAATGATCTATCTCTGCCTCCACACCGCTCACTCGCTTCCAAAGGCCCTCACAACATCTAGCTCTGTCATACATTAAGTCACCACCAAGGGGTACAGAACCAACCAGTCTCTCAGCCTGCTTATTTCCCAACACACAGGCATGACCCGGAGAAAATATCCAAAGCATGCTAACTACCCTGGACCTCTGAAGTGATGCTAGCCAATATGCACAGAGCTCTGATAAAGCAATGGTTTCATATAACTGTTTGTGACAGCACATGGCCTATCAATGAAAGACGTCATACTACCATAAGCAACAACATGGACACCTGATTCAAGCAAACCCTTAATAATCTGTCTTTGACAACATGCTTGTTATAAGGTAGTGGATCTAGTCTGTTTTCTTCTGCAAAACCTGGTCCTAGAACCCACACGGGGAGAATAATGGACACAGATCTTTGTTTGCTAGAGGACCCCGAAACTACAAACTTTCTGTCTTACTCTCGTTCACTTCTCTTGTCTTCAAAGTAACAAAGTCAGAAGAGAAACTAGATTATTATGGGCTAGTGAGAATGATGCTCCTGGGTGTGACCAGAGGGTTCAGCCGGCACACTACGCTCAGAGGAAAGGCAAGACGGACATACAACCAGAACCATTATTAATGGAACTCTGTTGGCTGCTGAGGATGAAGACAGAACACATATGGGAATACCCAGAGTGCTGTGATGTCAATTTCAGACTCAACTCTTATCTTTATTCAAAACAAATGTTACTTCACAGAATTGTACGCTAAGTTATGCATCTTACTGAGGTGTGTATTAGACACCTGACTGTACATTCAAGGAAACTAAGGCACATATACATGACCAAACCACCATCATGCTACCAAATCTTACAACACATACAAAAAACTCACTCATGTATCAATCATGTAAATACAACAGTGGGGAACACAACAGTGGGAAATGGATGGGAAATGAACGGATCGGATCACTGTCATCATGCCACCAAACATGAGAACATCAACTGGGGAATGGATGGGAAATGAATGGATAAGATCACTTTCACTAAATCACCAAACATGAGAAAACTGAAGTAGGGGAATGGACCGGAAACGAATGGATAAAATCATCAAATATGAGACAAGTGATACGGAGAGATGGCAAGCAATAGGGCCGGCAGATATAAAGGGTAACGCACCAAGAAAAGATTAAAGAATTGGCAGCATTCCGAAAGAATTTCTGGGGTGAATGGACTTAGAACTCATGCATTACCACCTCACTTTAAAAACAAAACACAAAAACAATCAATGAAACAATGGGCAAACCTTAACAATAACCACAGTATATGAGATTTGACAAACAAAACACAAAAACAATCAATGAAACAATGGGCAAACCTATACAATAACCACTGTATATGAGATTTGACAAACAAAACAAATCCTTAGATTGAGACTGACAATCGGCAACCTAAATGTTTGACAAATTAATTAACAATTTCATCAATCTACTCTTTTCCTTCTCAGGAACTCTAGAACCACTATATTTGAAAATGATTGTTTCCATTTAATTTTGATGCCATCTTTCAACATTGTTCTTGGTCTACTTTGAGCACCATATATCCCTATCTATTTCTGATACATGCCTTGTTGGTATGGCATCATTAACAAAAACCAGTACTTCAATTTTAATTCACCCCAAACAAAATAAATCAGAGAGTTCCAAGAAAAGTCCAATATTGTAGGGGTTGCATGTGCTGGAGTTAGGGTCAGACACTATCTCTGAGGCGGTCTGGGCTGACAAAGATCAGTTTTATTTTCGTGCCAGGGCACACAGGTCATCTCATGCTATTGTCCTACCAAATTATAGCTTCAATGTTCATTTCAAATCATAACACTCCTAGAACACTGGACTTTCCCTGGACCTTTAGGATTTCCTTTGTTTAGACTGAATTAAAATTGAAGTACCACAAAACCACATTTCAAAATGTTCAGTTTAAGCAACAGATAATTTACAGCCCTCATTTATCATCTAGATGTATGAAAGAAGTGACCAATGAAAGGAGTGTGGTTAGAAGGGCAAATGTTATATAGAACCGCATGCTGAATGCTTGAAAATAAGGTCGGCTTTTTAATTCATCATCATTATCAAATTTCACGTTTATCTTATAATTAATTTAAGTGTGGCCATGTTATTCACCCCTGTTTCTAGCCCTGTCTTTAAGTGCCATCAATCTTGACTTACAAAGATGTTCTTTCATGTTATGATGCCAAACTCACAAGGTGCTCTTCTCTTGACCTCTCTATGCCTCTCTTCCCCTCCAACTCTTCCACTGCCAGAATACACTCCACTTTTCCCCTGTTCCATATGTGCCCGTAGAATGTAGATTGTCTGATATACTTCAGCTGCAACAAAATTCTGCAGTTTTGGAGAGAACTCATGGAAATCATGTTCTAGATATTTCCTGATGGGAGCATCTCTTTCTGATAAGAGCAATCATTTCTCTTCATGAGTTTTTTCACTTCTTTAATTAGTAGCTTAGATGTAAGAAGTTGTGTTAATCTAAAACTCCATTATGAAAACATCTTGGAAGAACATCAAACCAGGAACTGACAAGACAACAAGCAACACTGTGACCAAGGCATCACTCAAGCAGGGGGCACAACAACGGCAATAAAGCAGTCACCCATCGAGACAGCAGATGAGCTGGCAGGGACCACAGGTGGGTCCGCGGAGCTACAGCCCTGAGAGAAGAGTGCCGTAGAAGCAGGGAAGCTTTTGTCACTGGCTGCTGGCTGGGTTACTTGAGTTGCCTGATAGCAAGAGGTGGCAGCGGCAAACATGGCGGAGGTAGCGGTGGTGGTGGAGGAGGCGTGTGTGAAGGTGAAGGTAGGGCCGTGTCCTGAGCCTACCAGGCAAGAGGACAAATTCCAAAATAAAACAATCAAAACTCTTACATCTATTCCCACCTCACAAATGAAATCTATCGGCACTAGATTAAGTAAAGTCAAGGACCCTTTTCCAAGCTTCCAGGCATATTGGGCATATTTTACAGACCAATCGGCACTTGGTAGGTGATGTGGTCAGCATCATGCCGGCCGCCTTTACTTTCAAGGACTTTTACCTGGTACCCACCCAAGACTGGGTCGGCCTGGCAGCCAAAGTCATACATTTTTTTTTCTTCAAAAAGTCTAGCTCTAGGTTCATACGATGGATCAACATTATGGCACAAGGGTAGTAACCCATAAGTGCTCCGTTCTACTTCTAACTCCAACCTGAGTCTGGAGAATCTCAGCGCAGTGCACTAACTTCTCAGCACCGGTAAGGATGCTTAAATACTTTAGGCAAATTATTACCTCTAAACTTTGCCTGGGCAGTGCCATTAGGCTGCTCTTTTCGATTCCCAAATGTCAAGGGATTTTTCACTTGCGCAACAATACACACTGGCGCGCGATCTTACTACCCAAAGTCCAAGGGAAATTACTATAGGTCAAGCCTTCATCTGGGCTTGAACCCGGGACGTCCAGCACTTGAGGTGGACGCAAGCAATGCCTTGAGACCATGCAACCCCCCCCCCCCCCCCCCCCCCCCCCCCCACCCCAGCAAATTAATTGTTACAGGGTGTGGGAGCTGGCCCCCGAGTCACGGCCCGAGGTAGAGTGGTGGGAGCGTCATAGACCAGTTATTTCCCTAGTCGGCGCTACCACCACCTTATCGTCCCTTTGCAGTGACGAGGCAGTGACTCAAGGTGACAATTTGGCACGCTGGCAGCTAACTTTAGGAGAGGTCCATTAATCTTAGCTCTTTGAGAACCCTAGTGTCCCATAGTTTGAAAGAGGCGGGCCGTTCAACTACTAAGGGGGTCAAAATGGTGAAAATTGGGAATCGACACGGGTCAATGGCTCAAGCCCCAGCATAGAAAGGTCATTATTGCAAAACAACTGGCAATGACTTGAGAGGTCCCATGCTAGGCCATTGTGGGTCGGATTCAGCCTGTGGGTCGCCAGTTAGATAGTTCCGGTTAAAAATTATGTAATATTTGTGATATGAACTTGCACGTTCAGATTCCAATGCATCTTTGCAATCTCATGGCTGTCTGATGGATACAATCAATGGTGACATGTCTACAAACATTGCCATTCTTTTAATAAACAAAACACTATATTACTGTGTTCACAACCACAGTCACACATGGCAGGACACCTGTCGGATCAATTTGCAAACTGCAGAAAACACTCAGGTGGGGATGGGAGGACGACAAAAAAAAGAGAGTAGTTATTGTGGTGGGGTGGGAGGATGGAAGACCTACACTGATACATTTATAAAATTAACAATGTTTCCAGTGCTCTGGTGCACAAAATTGCTTAAGCTTAGGTGCAATAAGCTAGTTGTGTGTGTTTATGTGTGCATGCGTGCTTCAAACTGGTTTCAGATGGACTGCAATAAGCTAGTTGTTTGTGTGCATGTGTTTGTGTGTGCATCAAACCGGTTTCAGCTGATGTGCAATAAGCTAGTTGTTTGTGTGCACGTGTGTGTGTGTGTGCATCAAACCGGTTTCAGCTGATGTGCAATAAGCTAGTTTGTTGTGTGCACGTGTGTGTGTGTGCATCAAACCGGTTTCAGCTGATGTGCAATAAGCTAGTTTGTTGTGTGCATGTGTGTGTGTGTGCATCAAACCGGTTTCAGCTGATGTGCAATAAGCTAGTTTGTTGTGTGCATGTGTGTGTGTGCATCAAACTGGTTTCAGCTGATGTGCAATATGCTAGTAGTGTCTGTGGAAAATAAATGTCAGCTTGGGTGCACTAAGCTAGGTAGGTAGGTGTGTAGAGGTGTGTGTGTGTACATGCGCACATAACAAACTAGTGTCAGCTGGTGTCTGAATGTGTGTGTGAGTGCAAGAAACTGGCTTCAGCTTGGGTGCAATAGGATAGTTGCATGTGTGGGCGTGCGCAATAAGCTGACATGTGTGGGAGTATGTGTGCGTGTGCAATCAGCAAGCATGTATTAAGCTGCATGCAATCAATAATGTATGCATGTGTACATGCATAATACCCTATCATGTGTGCCTAGGTGCACAAAGAATCTGGCTATATGTGCACTATGTGTATACGTGATGGCATGATGTCGGCAATAAACTGACGGAGTGTACGTGCATTGAACAGCTCTGCCAGATGTAAAATCTTCTTCTTCTTTGCTTTCACTGGCTGTAAACTCTGGTGGACAGTTCTGGCCGTGTATCCCCCTCTTTAGCCTTGGCTATCTTCCGAATAACGGTCCCAAATTATCAAGGCAGAAAATATACCCTTACAGGGCCTCAGTCACGCGTCAATTGAGTAGTTCCGTCGCCTTGAAATGCGAGCTTCTGCCGTGGACGAATTGCAAACTTTTGGCAACCTCCGCCACCGCCAAGAGTGTCCCCCACGCAGCTAATGCGGCGTGGATTGGTGCTAAACTAGATGGCTAGGATTCATGAGCAGCAGCTACCGCATCACCTGCAGCTTCCTTCATTTTATTTGCTCGTGAGTCCTAGCCATCTAGTTTAGCCCCAATTCACGCCGCATGAGTGGCGCGGGGGACACTCTCGGCTGTGGCAGAGGTTGTCGAAAGTTCGCAATTCGGTGGCGGCGGAAGTTGCCGGAATCTCGCATTTCAAGATGACGGAACTGCGCAATTGACATGTGACTGAGGCCCTGTTAGGGTATATTTTCTGCCTTGATAATTTGGGACCGTTATTCGGAAGATAGCCTTAGTCTTGTTCCAGAACCTGAGTGTTGCAGGCACATCTGACTTTACTGTATGCAGACTGTTGGTTCCTTGCCTCTCAGGCAGATGCACTTCAAAATTAAAGGAAACCGGCAATTAGTCGACTCCTATAAGATGCTTTTTGGGGAGGCGGTGGGTCTATTCTCCCCCCCCCCCCCCCCCACAATGTGGCACCAGAACCCACATGGAGAAAAGGATGTGAAACAAAGACTATCAGGTACAACAGTAAGTTGAGTTCATATGGTGTAGATTTTTAAAAAATAATACAAGAACCTTGTCATGGTTCTCATGGATCGGTACATAGGGCTAGACCTGTTTTTACAGAGGAAGTGGAACTTAACAGGCAATGTGCCACCTTTACCTTCCATGACCATGAATGACCTGTATACCCAATTTAGGCAGGGTTGATTTGGGTATCAATGTCTGATAACCGTAAGACAAAATATATCTTCTGAATCCGACTCTGTAGGACCCTTTGCAGAATCTGAGGCACATCAGGTACTTCCATAATTTTATACACAATCAGGCACTTGATAATCAAGATCATACTGGCTTTTACTTCCCACATTTTTTCCGGTAGCTATTTTTGTCCTGGATAGATCTGGCAGGTCAGGTCAGTTGGAAAAATCTGCACAAGTGTGGGACTGAACCCAACACCTTTGGACCTAAAGGCCAAATTATGCAGTTATGAATAAATATGACAAGTGTTTTCTTCCTTTACAAGCACACCATGTAGCCATTATAAAGATGAAAACATCAACTCAAAATGCTAAACTAATATTAAACAAAATAAAACTTAAAATGGTGAAAATTGAGATACCAACACAAGTTGTGATTTTATATTAGAAATATTACATATGTTAGCTAGTTAGTAGTTTAAAGTTTGTCTGTTAGTCTGTAGTTGGACTGCACTGGTGTGGTACTATATAATGCTCTGTAACACTAGATGCTGAGTAGTTAGTAGTTTAAAGTTTGTTAGTGTGTAGTTAGTAGTTTAAAGTTTGTCTATTAGTATGTAGTTAGTAGTTTAACATTTGTCTGTTAGTGTGTAGTTAGTAGTTTAAAGTTTGTCTATTAGTATGTAGTTAGTAGTTTAACATTTGTCTGTTAGTGTGTAGTTAGTAGTTAAAATTTGTCTGTTAGTGTGTAGTTAGTAGTTTAAAGTTTGTCTATTAGTATGTAGTTAGTAGTTTAACATTTGTCTGTTAGTGTGTAGTTAGTAGTTAAAATTTGTCTGTTAGTGTGTAGTTAGTAGTTTAAAGTTTGTCTATTAGTATGTAGTTAGTAGTTTAACATTTGTCTGTTAGTGTGTAGTTAGTAGTTAAAATTTGTCTGTTAGTGTGTAGTTAGTAGTTTAACATTTGTCTGTTAGTGTGTAGTTAGTAGTTAAAATGTGCCTGTTAGTGTGTAGTTAGACTGCACTGGTGTGGTACGATATAATGCTCTGTAACATTAGATGTTGTGCTAGTGTGAAACTAGACACTGCTATAGTGTGGAACTAGATTATTGCACTAGTGTAGATGCTGCTTTAGTGTAGAACTAGACACTGCTCTAGTGTAGAACAAGATATTGTACTAGTGTAGAACTAGACACTGCTTTAGTGTAGAACTAGATATTGTTCTAGTGTAGAACTAGACACTGCTCTAGTGTAGAACTAGACACTGCTTTAGTGTAGAACTAGACACTGCTTTAGTGTAGAACTAGACACTGCTCTAGTGTAGAACTAGATATTGTACTAGTGTAGAACTAGACACTGCTCTAGTGTAGAACTAGATATTGTACTAGTGTAGAACTAGATATTGTACTAGTGTAGAACTAGATATTGTACTAGTGTAGAACTAGACACTGCTCTAGTGTAGAACTAGATATTGTACTAGTGTAGAACTAGACACTGCTCTAGTGTAAAACTGGATATTGTACTAGTGTAGAACTAGACACTGCTCTAGTGTAGAACTGGATATTGTACTAGTGTAGAACTAGACACTGCTCTAGAGTAGAACTAGATATTGTACTAGTGTAGAACTAGACACTGCTCTAGTGCAGAACCAGCTATTGCATTACTGTAGAACTAGACACTGCTTTAGTGTAGAACTGGATATTGTACTAGTGTAGAACTAGACACTGCTCTAGTGTAGAACCAGCTATTGCATTACTGTAGAACTAGACACTGCTTTAGTGTAGAACTAGATATTGTACTAGTGTAGAATTAGACACTGCTCTAGTGTAGAACCAGCTATTGCATTACTGTAGAACTAGACACTGCTCTAGTGTAGAACTAGATATTGCACTAGTGTAGAACTAGACACTGGTCTAGTGTAGAACTAGATATTGTACTAGTGTAGAACTAGATATTGCACTAGTGTAGAACTAGACACTGCTCTAGTGTAGAACTAGATATTGTTCTAGTGTAGAACTAGACACTGCTCTAGTGTAGAACAAGATATTGTACTAGTGTAGAACTAGACACTGCTCTAGTGTAGAACTAGATATTGTTCTAGTGTAGAACTAGACACTGCTTTAGTGTAGAACTAGATATTGTACTAGTGTAGAATTAGACACTGCTCTAGTGTAGAACCAGCTATTGCATTACTGTAGAACTAGACACTGCTCTAGTGTAGAACTAGATATTGCACTAGTGTAGAACTAGACACTGGTCTAGTGTAGAACTAGATATTGTACTAGTGTAGAACTAGATATTGCACTAGTGTAGAACTAGATATTTTACTAGTGTAGAACAAGATATTGTACTAGTGTAGAACTAGACACTGCTTTAGTGTAGAACTAGACACTGCTCTAGTGTAGAACTAGATATTGTACTAGTGTAGAACTAGACACTGCTCTAGTGTAGAACTAGATATTGTACTAGTGTAGAACTAGACACTGCTCTAGTGTAGAACCAGCTATTGCATTATTGTAGAACTAGACACTGCCCTAGTGTAGAACAAGATATTGTACTAGTGTAGAACTAGACACTGCTCTAGTGTAGAACTAGATATTGTTCTAGTGTAGAACTAGACACTGCTCTAGTGTAGAACAAGATATTGTACTAGTGCAGAACTAGACACTGCTCTAGTCTAGAACTAGATATTGTTCTAGTGTAGAACTAGACACTGCTCTAGTGTAGAACAAGATATTGTACTAGTGTAGAACTAGACACTGCTCTAGTGTAGAACTAGATATTGTTCTAGTGTAGAACTAGACACTGCTCTAGTGTAGAACAAGATATTGTACTAGTGTAGAACTAGACACTGCTCTAGTGTAGAACCAGCTATTGCATTACTGTAGAACTAGACACTGCTCTAGTGTAGAACAAGATATTGTACTAGTATAGAACTAGACACTGCTCTAGTGTAGAACTAGATATTGTTCTAGTGTAGAACTAGACACTGCTCTAGTGTAGAACTAGATAGTGTACTAGTGTAGAACTAGACACTGCTCTAGTGTAGAACAAGATATTGTACTAGTATAGAACTAGACACTGCTCTAGTGTAGAACTAGATATTGTTCTAGTGTAGAACTAGATATTGTTCTAGTGTAGAACTAGACACTGCTCTAGTGTAGAACTGGATATTGTACTAGTGTAGAACTAGACACTGCTCTAGTGTAGAACTGGATATTGTACTAGTGTAGAACTAGACACTGTTCTAGTGTAGAAATAGATATTGTACTAGTGTAGAACTAGATAGTGTACTAGTGTAGAACTGGGTATTGTACTAGTGTAGAACTAGACACTGCTCTAGTGTAGAACTGGATATTGTACTAGTGTAGAACTAGACACTGCTTTAGTGTAGAACTAGATAGTGTACTAGTGTAGAACTAGATAGTGTACTAGTGTAGAACTAGACACTGCTTTAGTGTAGAACTAGACACTGCTTTAGTGTAGAACTAGACACTGCTTTAGTGTAGAACTAGACACTGCTTTAGTGTAGAACTAGACACTGCTTTAGTGTAGAACTAGACACTGCTTTAGTGTAGAACTAGATAGTGTACTAGTGTAGAACTAGATAGTGTACTAGTGTAGAACTAGATAGTGTACTAGTGTAGAACTAGACACTGCTTTAGTGAAGAACTAGACACTGCTTTAGTGTAGAACTAGACACTGCTTTAGTGTAGAACTAGACACTGCTTTAGTGTAGAACTAGACACTGCTTTAGTGTAGAACTAGACACTGCTTTAGTGTAGAACTAGACACTGCTTTAGTGTAGAACTAGACACTGCTCTAGTGTAGAACTAGATATTGCACTAGTGTAGAACTAGACACTGCTCTAGTGTAGAACCAGCTATTGCATTATTGTAGAACTAGATACTGCACTAGTATGTAACTTAAACATTGCACTACTGTGTAACTAGATATTGATGTAATGTGTGACTAGATTTTGTTCTAGTGTGGTAGTATATACTGCATTAGTGTGGTACTAGCTATGGCTACAGTTTGCCACTATTCTATGTTGCAAGAAAAAAAAAGTAGATTGGTGATGAAACAGTAGGCTACAGAGAACTCAATCAATACTATGGCCCATCTACAATCACAATCCAAGCTGGTTGTAAAATCTATTATACTTCACATGACAGTTTCTCTAAAGTCTTTTACCTTTTACACGATAGCTTTTCTGGTTTCTGGTTTATCTACTTCTACATGACAGTTTCTATGAAGTCTGTCTACTTTTACATGACAGCTTTCCTGATGTCTCATTTATCTACTTTTACATGACAGTTTTTCTGGTGTCTCGTTTATCAACTTTTACATGACCGCTTTTCTGGTGTCTCGTTTATCTACTTTCACATGACAGCTTTTCTGGTGTCTCGTTTATCTACTTTTACATGACAGCTTTTCTGTGTTTCGTTTATCTGCTTCTATATGACAGTTTTCCTGGTGTCTCGTTTATCTACTTTTACATGACAGTTTCTATAAAGTCTATTTACTGTCACAACTATGATGCAGAAGTTCAAGCCATCAAGATAGCGGTAGAGAAACTACTAAATACAGGGTATTTTTTACAACCAGTGGTATTCCTGACAGATGCAAAAGCAGTACTTCAGTCACTCCAGTCTGGAAAATTACCAAGCATACGGACACTATTATCCGAACTAGGCAACCGCTGTAAATTAGTAATGCAGTGGATACCTTCCCACTGTGGAGTTCCCGGAAACGAAAAAGCTGATAAACTAGCTAAGGAAGGTGCAACTGAAGAACAACCTGACATACCAGTCTCTTATCAACAGAAGAAGAGAATGATCAAATCAATCAGAATGCCACCGAAACTGGCACAAGATGATTACCATATTATGGACAGACCAGAGCAAGTTATTATCCTTCGCCTTAGAACAGGGCACAATAGACTTCGCTCCCACATGTACAACAAATTTAAGATTGGCCAATCGGCCATGTGTACTTGTGGACTGGCACCTGAAACAACAGATCACATCCTTCAAGACTGTATCATATTCAACGCTTTCAGGCAAAACATTTGGCCAAAAGAGACACTTGTGGAAGTCAAACTTTACGGGCCGCTTAGTGAATTACAAAAGACAGTGAAATTCATACAAGAGACGGCTTTGCAGATATAGACAATTTATTTCATGCGAACGAAAGAAGAAGAAGAAGACATGACCGCTTTTCTGGTGTCTCGTTTATCTACTTTTACATGACAGCTTTTCTGGTGTCTCGTTTATCTACTTTTACATGACAGCTTTTCTGTGTTTCGTTTATCTGCTTCTATATGACAGTTTTCCTGGTGTCTCGTTTATCTACTTTTACATGACAGTTTCTATAAAGTCTATTTACTTTTACATGACAGCTTTTCTGATGTCGAGTTTCTCTAAAGTTTATCTTCTTTTAACAAGAAAGCTTTTCTGGCTTCTGGTTTATCTACTTTTATATGAGTCTCTCTAAAGTCAACTATTATTACATGACAACTTCTCTAAAGTCTGAACTACTTTCACAGGAGTTATTCTGAAGTCAAATTTACATGAGAGCTTTAGTCTATCTACTTTCACATTACTGATGTCTGTCTAGTTTCACATGATAGTTCTCTAGAGTGTATCTACTTTTTATGATATCACCTGTCTCAATTTATTGTTATGACTGGCTTTCCCTTTCTAGCTGGTGACTTCAAGCGTCAGTAGACCTACCTGTATATAATCTAACCATGATCTTCTTGGTTGTCTCGTGGTCTGCTCCCTTTGAACCTCACCCCTTTATCTGTTTAACACTGTTGCTAAGGTCTCTCTGGACCATCTGGTACAAACTGGCAAGGAGCAAAACAAACAGACAACTGCCTGTGCCAGGGAGCACAAAACCTACATGTTCTCTGAGACCTGACAGCAAGCAGCAGTCTAATCATCTCTTTAAACATCACTTATGTATGTTTTTATAAGCTTTTATTAAATTCAGTTCTGTTTATCTGTCTGGTACAATTTTGGTCCATTCAAATTTTGTGTGTGTGGTAATATTATCATTAGGGTCCCTATGGATCATCTGCTAGGAAATCGTCTGGACAGCTACCTGGGCCAGACAGAGCTAACTAAACCTAGAAGTTCTCTGTAATCTAAATCTAGTAGTTCTCTGTAATCTAAGCCTAGAAGTTCTCTGTAATCTAAACCTAGAAGTTCTCTGTAACCTACTGGCAAGCAGGTTAGAAAGCAACAGAACAAGTACCCATCACATCACTGCAGCAACTGGGGCTAGAGTTGGTGAAACTGGGCGTGCCTTCAGTAAAATCCGTGTGTGTGGGGGTGGATTCAGACAAACTCAAAGGAGGGGATGGACCTCGAAAAGCTCCGGTGGCAGAGTTGACGCCAACACCTCGTAGAGAGACGGTGGAGGCTGTTCCAGCTGAAAGTGCATCCTCACTGGAGTAGGTGGTCATGTTAAAAGCTTCAGATCTGGGGATGAAGAAATCATGAGAAAAGTTATATTTATAAGCATCTGTGGCTTAAAGGTTGCAAATGAGGTTTGTAGTTCTGAAATACAGTAAAAAGTTGTTAACATGAATTTCAAGGTACTTCTTCCTCTTCTTCTTTGCGTTCACCAGCTGTAAACTCTGGCAGAAAGTTCTGGTTGTTCATCCACTTCGGGACTGCAGTCATGTTCCAGAACCTGAGTGTTGCGTGTGCATCAGTTTGACAGATCTGACACATTTGTGCGCAGACTGTTGGTGTCTTGCCTCTCAGGAAGATGCACTCCGACTTCGAAGGAAGCTCCCAATTAGTCGACTCTCACAACATGCTTTTGGGTAGGCAGTGGGTCTATTCTTGTTTTCCCTATAATAGGGCCCCGGAACCCACACGGGGGTTTTCAAGATACTGAAAATCTAGTTCTTGTTAAAATAATCTAGGTTACCAGGGACTAACAATAATTCCTCCCTGCTAGATCCACGATTTTGTTCATGTTAACCAAGTGTTCTTCTTAAGCAAATTTGTGTTAACAAGGTTTTAGTGTACCTGCTTCAATTCAGCTGCAGGTGATTAGGCAGCAGACCACTTTGTGTTCATTTCAACAATGGTATGGAGCATTGAGCATTCAGAAGGCAATGGCAAAATACTTAACATAAAACTAGCAAGTAAAACCCCCTCCAGCTTACAAATGCCGGAGATAATTTACATCTAGCTAACAAATGCCAGCGATAATTTACATCCAGCTAACAAAAGCCAGCGATAATTTACATCCAGCTAACAAATACCAGCGATAATTTACATCCAGCTAACAAATGCCAGTGATAATTTACATCCAGATAACAAATGCCAGCGATAATTCACATCCAGCTAACAAATTCCAGCGATAATTTATACCCAGCTAACAAATGCCAGCGATAATTTACATCCAGCTAACAAATGCCGGAGTTGATTTACAAAGCCTTTGAAGAAAATGCTGGAGCAGCTGTCGTGTAGCAGCTAGGTGTTCATCTGCAGATCAGAAGTGTGTGGGCTCGATTCCTGGTGAAGACAGGCATTTTTTTCAAAAATGGCCTTGGCTCTCAGCCTCAAATATGTACCAAGTACAGCCTTGGGAAATCAAGGCGGCCGACATGATGCTGACCACATCACACACTGAGTGCCGAATGGTCTATAAAATGTAGGTCTAGCCCTATATGCCTAAAGGTGTGAAAAAGGTCCTTAACTTTTGTATTTACTTTTTAAAAGATATGCTACTAACTTTATTACTGAAAACCTCTAGCAGTTCAGTATTATATTTGTGTTTCGAAAATAAAACAAATTATAACATGACTGCCATATAAATGACATCACTTTAAAAAAAAAAACTGTCAATCCTGCTTCTATATTTACATTTTCAGTGCGGAGTGGGCCAGGGGAGCTTGAGAATTTATGGCTGAACGCCAAGTGCAGTAGCCATGAACTGTGGAGGTTAAGATTTTTATTTTTACCAACAACGGGAAGAATATCCATCATCGTATGGAGAATTCAAAAGGGTCTCATATGTGACAGCTTTGTTATAAATAATCGAGGCATATGGCCCAAGATCCATAACTACAACTAATGAGCACAGAATCATAACAGAGAAAAGATGTCTTTGAAGAGCTGCAGGGGTAACAAGTATGATAGAAAAGGAAGGAAGAAATTGAAAGTAGACTAGGACAGTGAGCAACAAATGGTTTGTTCATGTGAATAAAATACCAGGATACGGACTCCAACAGAAAGCAATAATGAAAACATAAAATAAACACAGAGCAAGCAAAAGACCATGAATAAGAGTGAATAATGGCACTAAGGACAGCCTCTTCCTCGCATGTGTTTTGGTGGCTTATCCTGGCATTGACTGGGTGGGGGTTATGAGAGAATAGAGCCACTGTAACCATAATAATTGTGTTGTAAAAATAAACTAATTAGGGGTGTTATCTTCGAAGTCAAAATGCATCTGCCTGAGAGTCGAGAAACCAAAGGTCGGCATAAAAACAAGCCAAATCTGTAAAATGGACGTGCACACAGAATCCAAATGAACAGATTAGGCCTGTCCTTGCAGCATCTATGTCGATGCGCAGATGAAGGAGAAGACATGCTGAACAGAATTATTACTTTGGACGAATCATACCAGCATCACTAAAAGCCTGAATCAAAGCGTGCTTCAATGCAATGAAATGTAAACATCCTTCTTTGCATTGTGTTAAAAAATTCAAGGTTATGGCATCAGCAGGGAAGGTTAACCTGACAGTGTTCTGGCATTGTTAAGGAGTGCTTTTAACCAATTTAAAAAAAAAAGAGGTTACAATTTGAATGTTGATTAATACCGTAAAGTTCTATCAATGCTTCATGATGCAATTCAAAGAATATGTCCAGGCCTGCTGACTAGAGGAGTACTGCTCCTTCATGACAATGCCAGTCATACATGGCTCGGCTAACTCAGGAAACAATTAACCATCTAGGGTGGGAACTTCTGGAACATCCACCTTACAGCCCCAACTTAGCCCCTAGTGATTTTTGGTCCACTGAAAACACACCTAGGCGGGAGACATTTCGTGAATGACGCAGAAGTTGAATATGAAGTGAAAATGTGGTTTAGAAAACAGTGTACGTAGTTCTATGCAGCAGGTTTGGAAGGACTGATAAAACGATGGGACAAGTGCATCAATGTTGGTGTAAATTATGTTAAAAAATAAAGGAAGAGTGTAACAAATAAACAGTTTTCAAGTTGTTATCCACTTTTTTTTTTAAACCCTCGTAGTAATCCAAATCAATGCATCTGTCCAACAGATCATGTCAAAAAACAACTACATAACATCAACTGTAAAATAAGCATCTATATATTGGTGTGTGTGTATGTTTACGTGTGTGTGTGTATAAAACAAATGATAAAATAAACATTTGTATAACAGATCCTGTAAAATAAACAACTACATAGCATAATTTGTTAAATAAACATCTATATACTGATTATGTATGCACATACACATAAAGATATAATGAATCATGAAACAGATCTTGCAACATAAAGATCTACACCGTAGATCTTGTACAATAAAGACCTAAACAACAGACATAAAATAAATATCTATATAACAGATGGCATATAAACAACACGGATTCAAGAGACTTATTATCAACAATAAGCTTATTATCTAACAGAGAAGCTGATCAGTTGCATTGAAATCTTACTCTCTATCATTCAGTGTTCATGCATACATCCGTGTGTGTGTATACACACAGAGACACACACAATCGCAGACACACAGATATACAGAGACACCTACACTGCTACACCTACACTGCTACACCTACACTGCTACACCTACACTGCTATTCACACAAAACAGCTCTTATAAGGTGTAGGAAAGTGTTTAGACACACCTGCAGAAATACAGTTCAATTGTTACAGCTACAGTGGGTGCTAAAAGCCAACAGCACTAACTGTAGGAAATACAACCAACTACTAGCTAATACAAAACAAAATATTGTAACCAATGTACATAACAAGCAGGCAGACACAGAATATACTGAGAAATGTGGCCTTATCAGCAACTGATCGTATCTGCTCAATTCTAGGACTGTGTAGGACACTCTGCTCAATTCTAGAACCGTGAGGTCTTGAGACTATATTTAAGGCAGTGATTCCCAAAGTGGTGCCTCAGGAGCCGCGACCTCTTCACAGGAGCGCCGCAAAATATTTGAAGATACACAAGTTTTATTTTTTAAAAATGTGTATCTCTCACATAAGAATAGTCATACTTTTACTAAGGTTAGGGTGCTGTGAAAAATGTATTATTGAAAAAAAGGCGCCGCAACTAAGAAAAGTTTGGGAAACCCTGCCATAAGGCATGAACTGTGCAGGTTAGGGCTTTCATTTTTGCCCCGATATAAAAATGACCATCAGTTTACAGAGGTTTCTTCTTCTTCTTTGTTTTCAATGGCTGTGAACTCTGCTGAAAGTTCTGGTTGTTTGTCCACCTCTGGACTTTAGTCTTGTTCCAGAACCTGGGTATTGAATACACATACATTTTACAGATCTGACTCATATGTATGCAGACTGCTGGTTCCTTGCTTCTCAAACAGAGGCACTCTGACTCTGAAGGAAGCTCCCAATTAGTCGACTCTCACATGTTTATTGGGGATGCAGTGGGTCGATTCTTGTTTTCCCCACAATAAAAAGGGCCCCAGAACCCACACAGGGATATCGAGGATTCAAACCTGGGTCCTCAGAATGAAAGCCCAGTGCTATATCTGCGCAGCTAGCCCAGCTCTTCCTCAATAAGAACCTGCCTAATGAATAGGCCAATTCAAATCCTACTGTTATTTCTCAATATATGCAAGAATGGAACAACAGGAAAGTCATAACTGGAAGTCACAAAATCTAAAATCTGATATAGAAAGCGCACAATTCTATGCAAGAACATTAGTCAATGTGAGCTTCCTGTTTATATATCACTGATATTGTTTTGACCTGCCCTTCCCCCTGCAAGTGTTATGTTGGTGACTTTTTACCTGACATTTGTTGCTGGGAGTTAGAAACGTTGTCATTTACCATCTACTGTCCAAATATGTCCACATTAAATAAGAGATGTTAGGGTGCCCTAATATAAATGTTTTTAATGGCTAATCAGGGTGTCTGGGTTTAGCTCTGATTAGCACCTTCAACGACTGTCTAATGCAGTGACTATCAATCTTCCTAATGACATGACCCTTTAATACATTTTCACATGTTGTGGTGACCCCCCCAATCATACAATTACTTTCATTGCTACTTCATAACTTCAATGAATATGTGTTTCCCAATGGTCTTAGGAGACCTCTGTGAAAGGGTCATTCGACCAAAAAAGGGTCATGACCTACAGTTTGAGAACTGCTGGTCTAATGCATGTGATGTGTGTGTAAGCTATTCGATTTTCCCAGAACTGCTGACTATCTGACTTGTTGCATGAGACAGTGATGCACAT